AGACCTCGATCTGGTGTGCTCCGTATTGCTGGGACACCTGGAGAGGTTGTGTTGGGGTTTCCATTTGGGTTGTTCTTTATCCATTGTGGGAAACGTATAGGTTGCCATTTGTGCTACAGGGATCCATGGAGGAACCCAGTACACTTTGGTTAGGAGATGACTTCCAGGCAACCCCTGGTCACTAATCCCTGTTGGGAGAACCTAGAACTTGTTCTAGGAATTCATTTGGGCCTAAATACTCTCACAAGGAGAAGAAACTAAGCTTTCCCATTTTTTCTCCAATAGATTGCCCCTCTGCATCCCCATTCTTTCATTCGTTTTCAATCCCTCTCTGTCTACTAGCTCATTTACTATCACCTACACACTCACCTGTGTCTCCCTCATCCTGGGAAGAAACCTTCATTTGATCCTTCCATCGCTGATAATTCTCATTCTTTATCTCTTCTGCCCTTTGTAGCTTAACTCCTCAAAAAGCCTGTTTGCAAGAGGTGCCTCCACCTTCCCTCCTTTCACTCTCTTCTTAATCCTTTACAATCCGGCTTCCAACTTGCCATCCAAACTGCTCTCTCCAGAGTTACTAATGATCTCTTTATTGCCAGATCTTAAGAATTTGCACAATCCACTCTCCTTGACCTCTTTTCAGCCTTTGGCACTGCTGGATCGACCTCTTCCACGATACTTTCTTCTCTCTCCTGGTTCTCCTCCTCCCTCTCTGACCACCGCTTCTCTGTCTCCTTTGCTGGATCCTTCCCCAGATCTCCCAACCACAGGCGTCCCTCAGACCCTCTTCTCTTCTCCCTCTCTACGGCTTCATTTGATGATCTCATCAGCTCCCATGGATTTAATGACCATCTCCATGCTGACGATTCTCAAATCTAGCCTTCCTGCCTCAGTCTCTTTGCTGATGTCACCTCTCCAACTGCCTTGTAGATATCTCAAACCCCACACATCCAAAAAGAACTCATTATTGTTACCCCTAAATCCTCTCCTTCCTCCACCTCCCCTATCACTGGAGAGGGCAGCGCCATCTTCCCAGGTCCCCCAGGCCAGCAGCCTACGAGTCACCGTGGATTGTTCACTATCTCACCCACTGGATTGACTTTAAAAGGAGAGAACGGCTCCCACTCATCCATTCTTCTCTCTGAGAGATGAAGCATGGTGCTACCCTCTCTCTGGGAGTTGTTGTGATAAGAAGGCAGGGATGCCTCCCTCCAGTCTAACCCTCATTATCTAACTGTTATCTTAACTTTCCCCCTCCATGCCCAAGCTGTTGCCAAGGCCTGTTGATTTCCCCTTTAGGGCATCTCTAGAACATGCCCCCTTCTTTCCTCCGACACTTCCACCGCTCTAGTGCAGGCCCTCATGGCTTTATGCCTCAATTACTGTGATGGCTGCTGGTGGGTCTATCCATCTCCAGTCTCTCCCCATTCCAATCCATCCTCCTTTCAGTCACTAAAGTGCAGATCTGACCATGTCATTTCCTTACTCAACACACTTCAATGGTTCGCTGCTGTCCAGGATCAAATACAAAATGCTCTGTTTGGTATTCAAAGCCTTTCAAAACCTAGTGCCCTCCTCCCTTTCCAGTCTTTTTACACCTTACTCCCTGTCTCTTACTCTGACACCAGCCTCCTGACTGTTCTATGAACAAGGCACTATCTCTCAGCCCTGGGCATTTTCTCTGGACGTAATCCACCCACGGAATGCTCTCCCTCCTCCACTCTGCCTCCTGACCTCCCTGGCTTCCTTAAGTCCCAACTAAAATCTCACTTTCTACAGGAACACTTCCCTAACCTTTCAACTCCAGGGCCTTCCCTATCTTTTTTTTTCCTATAAAATTTTTGATATGAAATATTACAAGCTAGAACAAATCAGGGTGGAGATATGACACTTGATGAGAAGCACGGAAACATAGGAAGAGGGTTAACATTTCATTGATGACTTGGAGATAGTAATAATAAGCCTAGATACCATAGTGAGAGGCACCATAAAATTTATTTGCACACAAAAATATTGGGGAAAATAGTAAAAACCTATTTTGACATATAAGAACTACAATTTATGATAGTGAGGAAACCAAAAATATCCCCCTCTTTGCTTGGGATTGGAAGCAAACCACTGTACATTTTACAAAGGAGACTGAAGCCCAGGGAGGTCAGGGGCCTCAGGTGGTAAGTATCAGAGCTGTGATTCAATCTTTTGATTGAATCCTCTGAAGCCCAACTTTGGGTTCTCTCCAATACACTCCACTGCCTCCTGGGAAAAGAGGAGATTTTGTCCAGTGCCAATGACCTGGATTGTATCAACATTCATTCGGAATTGCTGCGACATTTGTCTTGAGGAAATTTACATTTGCCAATTCTTTTTTAAAGTGATGCCAAAATGTACTGTTTGCTTTTGGTCACATCCTTGGCTACGGATTTCAGGGGTAGGAGTTCTCCACATTTTTATAAATGAATCATAAAAAGTAATATTCTACACTAAGGTTTTATCTCCAAAAGATCTTCGAAGGGAGTTGATTCAATTCAAACAACATTTGTTAAATGTTGGCAATAGCAGGGCACGTCGGACTCACACATGAATCAGTATCATATGCTGGTTTTCAACAACACTCTACTTCTTTTGCCGTGTACAATTGAAGGCTGTGCTGAAGTGCCAACAGAAGCGGGCAACAAAGAAGCCTTGCCAGGCAGAGGGGCCTTCAGAGCTAGGACAGGGCAGAGCCACCGGTGTGGCCTTCCCACTGTTAGCCCAGCAGGGCAGGCAATGTCCCGATCACCACAGAACCACTGATCTAACAACAGCTGGTCCTATAAAGCACTTACCTTGCAAAACGCTTTACAAATATTATCTCATTTGATCTTCATAACCACCCTGTGAAGAAAGTGTCATTACTATCCCCATTTTAAGGATGGGGACACTGAGGCAGACAGAGCTTAAGTGACTTGCTCAGGGTCACACAGCTAGTAAATGTCTGAGGAAGGATTTGAACTCAGGTCTTCCTGACTCCAGGCCCAGCATTCTATCCAGTACCTCACCTTATTGCTTTATTAACACTGAGAACCACTTTAATGTAAGATCCTCTTACAAGATCATAGATTTAGGGTTAGAAGGGACCCTAAAAGTCATCTAGTCTAAACCCTACCCCCTCATTTTACAGATGAAGACAGAAGGAAAGGAAGATCCTATTAAAATACGTGTGTGTGTGTGTATGTGTGTGTGTGTGTGTGTGTGTGTGTATAAGAGAAGGAAGGGGGACAGAGACTGAGGTGAAGCAATTAATTAGTGCACACAATTAACGGCAACAGAGGAGGAGAAATCTGGGGTTAAGAATACCAAGCTAAATCTCCATTTTTTTTAAAAGACATAAACTGTCTCTAATTACTCCTAGGGGCAGCTAGGTGTTGCCACAGTGGATAACGTGCTGGGCCTGGAGTCAGAAAGACTCATCTTTCTGAGTTCAAATCCAGACTCAGACACTTAACTAGCTGCATGACCCTAGATAAGTCATTTTACCCTGTTTGCCTCCATTGCTTCATCTGTGAAAAGACCTGGAAAAGGAAATGGTAAACTACTCCAATATCTTTGCCAAGAAAATCCCAAACAAGGTCATGAGGAGTCGGACACGTTTTAAGAACAATGCTCCAGAGCATGGGAGCAGACAGAGCACCATGGTTTGGGATGGTGTGAGTCTAACCACTAAGGTCTGTAACTCCCCATGGAACTTCCCCATCACTCCCCTAGGCTTCCCCCATTATGTCCACTGAATCAAACCAGTCCAGTAGAAAAACAACCAATAGCACTTGGTTTGGTATCACACGGATTTGGGATCACATGGTATCACATACATCCTTCCAGTTCTTGACCAAGTGACTTAGCCTACTGTGGCCTCAGTTTCCTCATTCCTAAAATGAGAGGACTGGCCTAGCTGACTTCCAAAGCCCCCTACGTGGCAAATTCTAACTGGATGTTCTAAACATCAAGCAATACCCATCCCCCAGCAGTCAGTCCATCAGCTGGCCCATCAGTGAGCCATCTGTGAAGCCCAGCTTCACCGAGCCCCCAAGCCATAAGTGGCAGTCTCGAAAGGATCACAGGATCTCAGATTTAAAACCAAAAAGAACCTTCCAAGGACAGAGTTCAGTCCCTCCATTTTATCCATGAAGAAAGTGAAGGCCCAGAGGCAGGGGGCTTTGTCCAGCATCTGAGGTGGAATTCCCAGCTCGGACCTTCGGCCTCCCAGCCCAGCATTCTGCCTCTTTAATGGTCCCCCAGAGCACCCACAATCACAGAGACCAGCGAATGCACAGCCTAAGCCGGTTTTAACCTCTTTTTGGTCTCAACAGAGATTTCAGGGGGTACATAAAGTTGAATGGGGTAAAAAAAAATTTCTATCTTTATTTCAACACACTTGGTTTCCTTTGTACTCCTAGGTACTGAATTTCATGCACTTAAAACCATTCTCCTGAAAAGGGGAGGGGGTGGGGGGAAGGGAGGTTATAGGCTTTGCAAGCTAGCCAGAGGGGTCCATGACTCAAAAAAAGGCTGAAGAGCACAATCACCCTGCTAAGAGGAGTAGCCCCAAACGATACTTGCCTTATCTCTCGGCACCATTCCCACTCGTCAACGGACACACACACTCATGCACACTCCCGCTCACACGCTCACTCGTGCTGGCGCACACTCACTCGTGCAGGCACACTCAGGGTTACACAATTCACATCCACCCACACTCGTGCACGCGCACTCCCGCACACACGCTCACTCACGCGCGCACACACCCGTGCTCCCACACACACGCACACACTCCCTCGTGCTCACACACGCACACACACTTGTGCTAGCGCACGCACACCCACGCTCCCACCCACTCTCCCACTCGTGCTCACACACACACCCGTGCTCACACACCCACGCATGCACACCCACGCTCCCTCCCGCACACACCCCCCCCAGAGCGCGCCGGCCCCCCCCTCCAGCCGGGGGCCCCCCCGCCTCACCTTGAACTCCTTCTCGACGTTGGCCAGCCTGGCCAGCTCGTCGCTGAGCTCGAGCGCCGTGAGCACGGGGTCCTCGCTGGCCAGGGCCAGGTAGGCCGGGCTGGCCAGGCCGCGGTAGGCGTTGATGCGCGAGCGCGAGCGGCTGAACGCGTCGCGCCGCTGCTTGTCGGCGCAGTCCCGGCACTTGCAGAAGTAGTCGTGCGGCCGCTCGATGCGCGCGCCCCTGCTCAGCAGCATGTGCACCACCTCGTACCTGTGGCAGTGCGCCGCCAGGATGACGGGCGTGACGTCGGGGGAGAAGCGCGTGCCGTCCTCGTCGTAGGCGTAGAAGTCGTCGGCGCGCGGCCCCTGCTCGCTGGGGCTCAGCGTCAGGCGGCGGCCGGCAGCCGCGAAGCCCGGGTGGCCCAGCAGCGCCTCGACGATGCGCACGTAGCCCTTGCTGATGGCCAGCAGCAGCGCGTCGCCGATGCGGCCCAGGTCGGCCTTCTTGAGCAGCAGCTCCGTCACCTCCAGGTGCTCGTTGCCCACGGCCAGCTGCAGCGCGTTCTGGCCCATGTAGTCCACGCAGTTCACGTTCAGGGTCCGCGACTCGTCCAGCATCTTGCGCACGACCGGGATGTTGCCGTACTCGGCGGCGTCCAGGAAGCGCTCCTCCTCGGCGGTGAGGCTCGGGCCGCGGGCGTCGAACATGAAGGCCGGGCCGCGCACCGCCTGCCGCCGGCCCTTCTCCCTCGTGGCCAGCCGCGTGGTCGCCGGTGGGCTTCGTTCCGCGGACCTAATTAGCAGCAAGGAGAAAGTCAGTGGAGGCGACGACAGCCGGCACCACCCCCCCTCGACACCTGCCCCTTCCAGGCCGCCGAGCTCCAGATCCCGCTTGGCACTCGGCAAGGTCACCCGCAGCCTTCCTTTTGCCCAATGCCAGCCGTTAATTAAAGATTCTACCAGGGGGCTGTGAACTTCAGAAAAATATTTTGATGACTGTTATTTCAATATAAGTGGCTTCCTCTGGTTAGGTTTGGTTTTTGCCTTTAAAAACATGATTCGGAGAAGGGGCCCTTAAGCTTCGTCAGACTGACAGAGGGGGGTCCGTGACACAAGAAGGGTTAAAGGCTGCCTTGCTTTTTATTGATTGTATCCCTAGCTCGTAGGACAGAGCCTGGCGCCTAGTAGATGCTTAATAAACATTGATTGATCGGGTTAGATTATATTGGATTAGATGGAGGTGACCCAGTTAGTAAGAATGTGAGGCGGCATCTGAACTCAGATCTTCTGACCCCAAGTCCGTCGTGTACAGTGTGCCACCCTGGTGTCTCACGGATCAGGAAGTGGGAGAAAACAACAGTTCGGGATTGGAACTCCTAGGAGGCCATTTGGCCGAAACAGTATGTTTCACTCCATGAATGGGGAGTAGTGAGAAGTAAGGCTGAAAACGTAGCTGGAAGCTGGATCGTAGAGGCTCTTCAATGCCAGGTGAAAGTATTTCATCCTAGAGGCAATAGTGACCCACTGAAGATTTTTGATTTCAGGGGTGGTGGGGTCAGATCTGTGCCTTAGGAAAATGATTTTGGTAGCTGTATGAGAGACAGCTTGTGAAGGGAAGAACTGGGGGGCAGGAAACGACTATTGGAAGAGTCCAGTGTCAAACATGCTTCCAGCTAGCAGCATGCAGCCAACAATACTGCAGCCTGAGCTGGATTAAAATGCGATTGGGAAACAGTTAACAAAATATGTGAAAATACAATAGAACATAGATAATGCTAACATGTAATTTTCTAAGTCAATCTGTCACCTGTTTTATTTGAGTTTAACACCACTAGGCCAGGATAGAGGTGAGGGAAGGAAAGAGGGGGCTGGTTTTGGAAGAGGGAAAGAAAGGACCGATGAGAAGATTTCTTCGTCACCTGTTGAACAAATCACTTCATCTCTCTGGGCCTCAGTTTCCTCATCTGTCAAATGAGGTGGGGAATGGGAGGTGGGGGGGTAGCCTAGCTGGCCTCTGAAGCCCCTCCCAGCTCCAGGTCTAGCTAGATCTGTGGGCTGGAGGCTGTGGGGGTCAAATTGAAGGACCATCATTGATTGTTCACATCTGCCTCTTAGGGTAAAAAAAGGTTTTTTGGTTGAATATATCCTTTCAAAATCACTAAGATCAATCAACGATCTTTTTTAAAAATTTACTTATTTATTATTAGTTTTCAGCATTCACTTCCATAAGAATCAACAGTCTTTACTGGGCACTGACCACATGCCCACAACAATCTGAACCATAGCAATCATAATGGTGCTTTTACTGGGTGCCTTCCACCTTTTAAAGAAGAATAAGTGAGGTGACTGGAATTTTCATTATGGTTCAAATCTTTTAAAGCCAGGCCCAAAAAAAAATCATTTTTCTGCACTGTACTTTTTTCTAGGAGGAAAATGGAGACACATCTTTCCTCCAAATTTCCTCAGATATATATGAGATTGAATGTAATTATCTTTTGAAAGATCATAAGCTCTTTCCACAAGGTTGCCTTTCCTCCCAAACTCTTCTCTGTGACCTTATTAACCATCCCCTGCATTTCAAAAAGTCTAATCTAATTGTAATGCCAACATCTACCTTACTGTCTTCTACGACTCCTGCTACTTGAATTCTCAAGATGCAGTCTTTTTTTTAAATTGTTTTTATTGTCTTCTGTTCTTACATTCCCTCTCTATCACCTCCAGGATCAAATAAAAACTCTGTTTAGCATCTGAAGCTCTTCCTAACCTGGCCCCTTCCTACCTTTTCTGTCTTCTTACACTGAATTCTCCTTTGTTAAGTGCACATTCTAGCAACACAGCACTGGCCTAGACGCGGTCCCTCAAACATACCACCCCACCTGTTGTCTCTATGTCCTTGCATTGGGTGGCCCCCATTGCTCTTCCCTTTCATTCATGCTCGCTAGTTTCCCTGATGGATTCAGAATGCAGATTAAAACCTATTTTTCTCTTTCTTTATTTTTCTAGGGTTTTTTTTTTTTTGGAGAGGGGAAATGTGGCTATTGTGGAAATATGTTTTGCATGAATTCATATATATAATGTTTATCATCTTTCTGGTATTCTCAGTGGGTGGGGGAGGAGTGGTGGAAGGGAGGGAATTTGGAACTGAAAATAAAAATAAAATGTCTTAAAAACAGCTGTGGTGTGTAAGAAAGGTATTGAAACTTAGAAGTCAAGGCTCTCCTCACATTACTGGCTTTCAAAGCCAATGAGACTGTCAGATTGAAACGGAATGTTGAGGAAAGCAGCACTGTGTTTGTTTTTCATGTATTTTATGTGAGTGTGAACAAGAATTGAAAAACTTTTCTGGTTGTACCCATAGGAATGTCCAACTGCTTCCAATCTACTTAAATTTGAATCTTCACACACACACACACACACACACACACACACACACACACACACACACACGAGCACTTTCAGTAAATATTTGTTCAATGAATGAATGAATGAGTGAATGAATGGGAGGCTATATGATGCAGTGGAAAGATGATTTGGTTTGGAGTCAAGAGACCTGGATTCAGATCTCACCATTTTATGGGCCTCAGTTTCCTCATCTTTAAAATGAGCAGATTGGACCTCTTTTTTCCTAAGGTCCTTCCAGCTCGAAGTCTGTGATCTGTGAATTGATGAATAATAAATAAGGGACTGAACGGCTATGATGATTCGTACAAGCCCAAGATTCCCATGCCCAGGAAGGACATCTTCAAAATGTGGGGTGAAAGCAGAACCCCACCCCAGCCCAGTTTTCTTGGTGCCCTTGACTGAGGAGACCATTGTCTGCTGTCCACAGATCATTCCCCTTCAATTCTGGTGCTTGAGCACTGCACTCATGTTGCTGTCCCTCAGACGCCCTGTCTTCCCAGTTCATCAGCTTCACTGCTCCCTACAACTTCACTCTACCTCAGCCACATGCAAGAATTGTCATTCCCTCCATCTCACAGTCACCCATAACTCTTCAACCTCTATGATCCAGACCTGTGAATTCCTCTCTCTGACCACAATGTCCTATCCTTTCATCCCTTTCTCTTCCTTACTCCTAACCCTCTTGGTCATCTTCATTTCAGCCTACTGTCTTTCCACACCTCCCTGCTCTGGCTTCATTTCTCTCTGTCACAATCTTGACCCTGCAGTTATCAGGTGAGCCATGCACTGTCTTCTGACTTAGAATCTCTTGCCCCCTTTTCTCATTGCCACTAATGCCTTGCCACCCCAAACCCTCATTCACTCATATGCCTTCCACGTTCTTTTTCTCAGGCTGCCAAAGGGTTCCACCACGTTGACTAAGTCCCTACAAATTTATGGTAACTTCAACTGGACCCTCATTGCTTATTCTTTGCATTGATAATTCTTTCATTCTTTTCCAATTAATTCTCTATCTCACTGCCCACAGTGACTGTTCCAAGCTTTCTCTTCTCTCCATACACTTCCTATATATGACCATTCATAATATTTTGGCTACCACACATGTAACTGTCAGAGCCACTTGTTTGTAAACTCAATTCCAAATCATTCAACTCACCCCAGATAGTGAGTAAAGTCTCTTAGTCATCTTAATATTCCTCCTTAACATTAGTCATTTTTTTCTTTGTCTTTCTAGCAATGACAGGAGACAATCTTTTAGCTTCTCTCAAAAATCTTCCTAGAATTTTCTTTAGAAACTTCTCTTTACATGCTTTTCTCATAAAATAACATTCAGACAATTATCACAAGAAAGAAATCTATCCTCATCTTCTTTTTATCACATAGATTCTTCATAAATCCTCACAAGTCACAGATTAAACACACAACTTCTTAACTATTGGGAATGGTGCTTTACATTAAGACATTTATCTTCCAGGAGGAAACCAGTAAATTCTTTGTATTTCCAGTTTGCCCACTGGTTCAAAGAGACCTGGGCAATTTTCTGTTATTTCTCGAAACATTGTATTTAAGTTCTTTTTTTTTTTTTAAATCATGGCTTTTAGGTAGTCTAAAATAGTAGTAGCACAGTACAGTGCTTGGCCTTGAGTCAGGACAAGTCAACTTAAGCTCTCTCTGCCTCATCTGTAAAATGGAGATAATAATAGCCCCTACCTCACAGGGTTGTTGTGAGGGAAAAATGAGATCATAATTGTAAAGCACTTCTCATAGTGCCTGGCACATAAATGTCAGCTATCATTATTATTAGGGCAGCTCAGTGGACAGAGGGCCAGGCCTGGCATCAGGAAGACCTGAGTTCAAAGCTGACCTCAGGCACTTACTAGCTGCACAGCCCTGGGCGAGTCATTTAGTCTTGTTTGCCTCAGTTTCCTCATCTGTAAAATGATCAGGAAAAGGAAATGATAAACCAATCCAGTATCTTTGCTAAGAAAACCCCATATAGGGTCACAAAGAGTCAGACTAGATTGAACAACAAAAATTATTATTATTGTCTCTCATCAAGCTGTTTTCCAGGTCAATTGTATTTGCTATGAAATACTTGATATTTTCTTCTATTTTTTTCAGTCTTTTGAATGAGCGTTAATATTCTTGTTGTCTCATGTACCCATTAACTTCAGTTTGGTCCATTCTAATGTTTAGGGAATCTGTTGAGTGGTTCACTCTCTGCCAAGTTCTTAATTCTCTTTCCAGTTCTTTCTTTAACAGCTCTTATTTCTTTTCCAATTTTTCCTCCAGTTTTAACATGTCATTTATGAAATCATTTTTGAGCTCTTTTTTAAAAAAAGACCCCCAAACTCTTGCTTCATCTTTTCCAGGAACTCTAGTTGAACTTGTACCCAAGCTGTTTTCCTTTGAGGCTTCCTGAGTCCATCTCTTCTGAGCTGGTGTCTTGAGTGTCCCACTCACCATGCTAGGTCTTCATGGTGGAATTCTTTTGTTTGTTCATTCTTCCAGCCTACTTCCT